TATGTGTGTCTTTGCACATGAAATAGAGTTCCTGAATATAACACACTGATGGGTCTTGACTCTTTATCCAGTTTGTAAGTCTGTCTTTTAATTGGAGCATTTAGCCCATTTACATTTAAGGTTAATATTGGTATGTGTGAATTTGATCCTGCTGTTATTATGCTAGCTGTTTATTTTGCCCATTCGTTGATGCAGTTTCTTCATAGCATTAAAGGTCTTTACAATTTGGTAGGTTTTTGAAGTGGCTGGTACTGTTTGTTTCTTTCCATGTTTAGTGCTTCCCTCAGAAGCTCTTATAAGGTGGGCCTGGTGGCAAATCTCTCAGCATTTGCTTGTCTGTAAATGGTTTTATTTCTCTTTTGCTTATGAAACTTAGTTTGGCTGGATGTGAAATTCTGGGTTGAAAATTCTTTTCTTTAAGAGTGTTGAATATTGATCCCCACTCTCTTCTGGGTTGTAGGGTTTCTGCCAAGAGATCTGCAATTAGTCTGATGGGCCTCCCTTTGTGGGTAACCCAACCTTTCTCTCTGGTTGCCCTTAACATTGTTTCCTTCATTGAAACCTTGGTGAATCTGATGATTATGTGTCATGGGGTTGCTCTTTTCGAGGAATATCTTTGTGGTGTTCTCTGTATTTGCTGAATTTGAATGTTGGCCTGTCTTGGTAGGTTGGGGAAGTTCTCCTGGATAATATCCTGAAGAGTGTTTCTCAACTTGGTTCTATTCTCCCCGTCACTTTCAGGTACACCAATCAAATGTAGATTTGGTCTTTTCACATAGTCCCATATTTCTTGGAGGCTTTGTTCATTTCTTTTCACTCTTTTCTCTAACCTTGTCTTCTCGCTTTATTTCATTGAGTTGATCTTTAACCTCTGATATCCTTTCTTCCACTTGATCTATTCGGCTACTGTGTATGCTTCATGAAGTTCTTGTGCTGTATTTTTCAGCTCCAGCAGGTTATTTATGTTCTTCTCTATTTATTCTAGTTAGCAATTCGACTAACTTTTTTTTCAGAGTTCTTAGCTTCCTTGCATTGGGTTAGAACATGCTCCTTTAGCTGGGAGGAGTTTGTTATTACCCACTTTCTGAAACCTACATCTGTTAATTAATCAAACTCATTCTCCATCCAGTTTTGTTCCCTTGGTGGTGAGGCATTGTGATCGTTTGGAGGAGAGGAGACATTCAGGTTTTGGAATTTTCAGCCCTTTTGCACTTGTTTCTCCCCATCTTCGTGGATTTATCTACCTTTGGTCTTTGAAGTCGGTGACCTTCAGATGGGGTCTCTGAGTGGATGTTCTTTTTGTTGATGTTGATACTATTCCTTTCTGTTTGTTAGTTTTCCTTCTAACAGTTCAGCCCCTCTGCTGCAGGTCTGTTGGAGTTTGCTGGAGGTCCACTCCAGACCCTGTTTGCCTGGGTATCACCAGTGGAGGCTGCAGAACAGCAAAGATTGCTGCGTGTTCCTTTCTCTGGAAGCTTCATCCCAGAGGGGCACCCACCAGATGCCAGCCAGAGCTCTCCTGTAAGAGATGTCTGTCATCCTCTACTGGGAGTTGTCTCCCAGTCAGGATACAGTTGAGGAGCAGTCTGTCCCTTATCAGAGCTCAAACACTATGCTGGGAGATCTGCTGCTCTCTTCAGAGCTGCCAGGCAGGGACGTTTAAGTCTGCTGAAGCTGTGCCTACAACTGCCCCTTCCCCCAGGTGCTCTATCCCAGGGAGATGGAGGTTTTATCTATAAGTCTCTGACTGGGGCTGCTGCCTTTTTTTTCAGAGAGGGAAACTTGAGAAGGCAATCTGGCCATAGTGGCCTTGCTGAGCTGCCATGGGCTCCACCCAGTTGGAACTTCCCAGCGGCTTTGTTTACACTGTGAGGGTAAAATTGCCTACTCAAGCCTCAGCAAT